GACATGACAACTTGTTTTGTCTTCTATAATCAAAGGGTCATACCTCTCATTTTCTTGAAACTTAAGCTGCTAAAGATCTGTATGTCAAAAATAAAAAGCTTCATTTGTTAGTTTATAAAGTGCAAATACCACATTGTGAACAGACTGTAGATATACTTGACAGTGCTCTTTGCTCTAACAGCAAACATTTAAAGAACTTTGACACCAAGAGGTTTTTTTCTGCTTGCACTGTGGTTTTTCCTGCCTTTATTCTTTATCCATTAGTCTTGATGCTGATTTATGTATCCAGATTCAGAAGTGTACTGTAAATATTTGTGACATGAAGATGATGATCTGAGGATGATTTGAGCTTAGCTTATTTTGACAAATGAATTTAAGCTTGCTTAACTACTTCTGACAACATGTTTTAATAACATAATTTCCAGTGTTACTGACATTTTGTAATGTAACTCCGAGAACTTTCAGATTACCTGGAAAATAGAATGTTGTGTTTCAGTGACCTTAGCAGCAGGTTATGCAGATTTATCTACACTTAATGACTGAAGAGCTGAAACTACTGGAATTTTTGTTCTTGTTCAAGGAATATTTTTCTTTTAATTTACAGGATTAGTTGATGAAATGTATTTTGGTTTGGGCCTTTTATTTTATGACATGCAGGTTATATAGCCTACTAGTAATCTCTCTGAAGTATTCTTTTGTGTCTGATTTAAACAAACAGACAAAAAGACTACATCGTTACTTTAATAGTGGCTTTTTTGTTTAAAGATTTTTAAAAAGGAAAAAAAAAATCTCAGCCCTAGCAACTGGCGTAAAAAAAAAAAAAAGAAATCCAAGCCCCAGGAACTGGAATTCGTTACTCTAGCAGAAGGGAGACACTTTAAGGAGATGGCTCCATTTCTGTTATGATTGTGTTTGATTGCATTTAAGTTTTAGTGTTACCGTGGTTCAGGGTCAGGACAGACTAAATGCACATTAATTAGTACACAGTAATGGGATTGGTGTGAAGGAGTTTGGGTGTTTATTGTATCTGAAGCAGTAACTAATAATGCAAAGGACACTACGAAGTCAGGTAAAAGCAGTTCTCTCTACTTCACCTTTCCCTGTGGACAGGAGCAGGGCTCTCAGCGTTTGGGACAAGCAGGATGCTGAGTGTGGTGGCTCTGGCCATGAGAACGTGGTCACAGGCATCCCTGAAGGTCCTCCATGGCCAGGTGTCCCCCAAGGCAGAGTCATGCTGTCCTGCTCTCGGGTGGAGGTGGGATGAAATTGAGGAGGAGGAGAGCATCTTCCAGACCACTGGGTGTTTCCTCGCCTTTGGATGGCTCTGAGATACTGCCTCTTGACTGGTATAGTGAGTCACTAGTTCTGCTCTTTCTACCAGTTGTGGGTTTTTCATAGCACCTGCCTAATATGCTTTTTCTAACAAATTTGACATCCGTAGTAACTACGTAGCAATGTATCAAAGGTCAAACTGTGGGCCTCCAACATAGGCTTTAGCTGCTCTGTAGGCCAGGAAGTTTAAAATTTCCCTGTTAGAGTGAAATTAATTTCCTACTGAAATGAACAAGATGTTTGATTGCACTTCATGCTTTATGGAAATAAAGAACATGGGAGATAGGAGGATCTAAACTAAAAGTACAGTAACAGTAAAATAAAATACTCAACCCTATGCTATTTCATTTTGCACAAGTGAATGATACTAGAGATTTTTTAAGATAGAAAGAAGCCTTATGTGGACTGTCTTGGAGGAATGAATGTCAGCAACTTTCTGACAAACATACTCTTAAATAATTTGTTGATTGTTTCAATTTATATGAGAAAATATGTAAAAGGTATGACTTGAAATATAAGCATCTGATAGGGAGATGTGGGGGAAAACGGGAAAATGAAAAGCATCATGTCATAACTGGAATTAATGGTATTTCTTTGGCTAAAACAGGAAAGGTGAAACAAAGTATGATAAGTGCTGAATACTCTGGAAACCTACAATTTCTTAAGGATTGAAGTGATGAAATTTCTTGGATAAAAACATGAAGTACAGAAGTCAAAAGGAATACTGTAATTATGTATTTCTGATATGAATGGCAATAAACTTTTTTATTATTTTCAATACTTAAGAATTGGGAAGGGAGAACAAAATGCATATCCCTCTGTAACAAGCTAGGCTGAACCTGTATTTTTCAGAGTTTTCAGATTACCGGGTAGAAAACCTTGATCTGAAAAGACTAAGACATTAATCCTGATGTTTCTTAGACGTAAAAGGCTAGATAAGTACAGGGAGTTTGGTGTACACAGCACTGCGTACCTTGAGTTCAGACCAGTAAGGCTGACTTGCACCGTAGCTACAGGGTGTCTTGGCTTTGCTTCAGAAGATGAATCATTATTTTATGAACAGTGCGCACTTGAGTATTTCACCCGTCAGATGTCCTTGTCTTTAGTGCTCAATGCCAGACAGTTCTGTTTTCTTAACTTCTTGGTTACGATGAATCCAGTGGTGTTCGACATGTACGTAGGATGTTCCACCCAGGCCGGGGTTTGGGAGGCCCCCGTGCACGTAGATCAAACATGCACTTTACTACCAGTTCCCCTGGTGGGCTTTCATCTTCTCAGAGTTCGTATTCTCCAAGCAATAGAGAAGCCATGGATCCTATAGCTGGTAAGAGCTGAAACTAGAGATTTTACACCAGTATCCGGCTTACCCAGAGGAAGTAAAATTCAAGACGGTAATAGTTGCCCTGCTTTCCCCATGCCGCACATATAGCGACGCTCCGCAGCGTGAGTGCGATTGATGTCTACTTGCAGGCGAGCGGTGTGCTTGGCTGGGTTGTCACACGGCCTGTGCATGGAGGTGCTGGAGCTGGAACCACTGCCTGTAGCTTGTACTTTTACCTCTAGACGGTGTAAGGCTTATCCCCAAGCCTGGTCTATGCACAGGTGTTGTGTCGCTTCTTACAAGTGATTGTGTCCTACTTCCATCACTTTAATACGTCTCATTTTTATTTGCCATGTGGATAAAGGTGTTTATGGAAGAGAGTATCTGTCTCAATGAAAATGTAATCAGCTGAAATCGAGTATTAACAGACATGTAAAAGACGTTCAGTTTGCATTCAGTCTGCTGAATGCCAGACTTGCTAATATCACAGGGTTGTGTTTTTTTAGGTGTACTTCTAAATTCTTACATAAATGTAGTGTTGTAAGTATTTGCAGTGCATTTGGTCAAGTTTAGAAAAACTGTGAGGCGGAGGGAAGGGTGTCTTGTTTTCAGCACCAGAAGATAATGTGGATCTGTCTTCATGATTCTCAGGAATAATTTGTTTGGCGTTGTCGCGTTAAAAGGGGGGTAAGGAAAGTCTGATAAGCAGCAAAAGGAGAGCTCTCCCGTTGAGTCACGAGGTTTGGAGAAGACCCCCTTGCGTTCTAAACTCTCTCTGAGGAGAGTCTAGGTGTGGCTGGATCCACTCCTAGTCCCAGACTTGGTCAACGGTTTATGTCTAAATGGTGAAGTGTGTAGCCACTGATCAGATTCAATGTTTGCCTGTCAGCGCCCTTCCAAGGACTTTCACTGAAACAGCTTCGCAAAGTTGAAACAATAGATAATTTATTCAAGCGACAGGTATCACAGATTCGGAATTGCCGTTGATAAGTGCACTGCCTACAGAAGTTGAGCTCAAGGTAATAGTTTAGCACTTTAGTTAACAATGTGTTCCTGGGGATACGTCTGACAGTCAGAGGTGCGACTCTCACCAAAAAGGCGTCCCTTCTTGGGGGGGGAAGAGAGGTTCGGGCCCGTCGACCCGTCTGTCAGGCGAAGTTCTCGATTGGCTCCTCCTCCCAAAGAGAGTTTTCAAGTGCTGATTTTTATATGTTTGGAAGTCTTTTTGCGAGGTGGGACTAAGTCAATTACTATGTATTGATTGGCTCTTGGCATGGAACGTCGTGTGTCAGAAGCGGGACTCAGTGGTGTGACACGCCTTCGGAGCGGGTGTCTCGGTGTGTGCATCCGGGGGCCAGCTGTGCTTTATCGAAGCAATCTCTGACTGCACAGCAAATTACTCCCTTTGTTAGCTCTTCAGCTCTTGACACCTCAGTGGAGAGACGCCTCAGTCCGAGTTTGTCTTTCATCTTGCATTTGACAAGTCGAGCAAGGCCATCGATTACAGGCGTATGTTTAGCTTGATGTGAATATAGCTTTGCTTTTTTACAGGAAAGGAAATAGAGAGAATTAAGACAATTCTGAAAACAAATATAACTTTACCTAAGAGGTAATCTAAACATTTTATGTGGTGGCCTTTAACCATGTCAGTGCAAGTGTCAGGGAAACCTCAGAACTTATGCCGTAATCCACCTTTGCTTCAGATGCCAAGAACACATAATGCTTAAACTGGAGCTTCCTGCTATCATGTTGTGACTTCTTCAGAGGGAGGTAGCCAGCCTGCTACCTTGATGAGGCATTGCCCTTGAAAGCGGAGCTGTGGTTACACCGCCTGTCTTAATCACGGTCTCCTTGCCGGCCCTGCTGGCTTTGGTGCTCTGCTGGCCTGCGGTGACCTGATCCAATCATTAGATCAGCTGGGAAGAAGTATCCCATCAGGAGAAGAAAATCAGTTATGCGAGGTCACAGGAGGGTCTGAAAAGGGCTAGAATTTGTTCAAGGAGGAAGGATGTTTGTGAAGCATCCAACGCAAAATTTTGTCTGAGAAGCACAGCTTGTTCAGCCCGGGTAAAAGTGGAGTGGCTGCTGAGGTTTGCTTTCAGGCTCACAAGATCTTCCTGCTTGGCAGCATTAAACATGGGATAAAATGGTATCCTTCTGAATCTTTTCTTTTTTGGTGGAAGCTGTGTTTTTGCGTTTAGAAGTCAGCTGCACACTGAGCTGGGCGTCATTCTTATACGAAGATGCTGTCTCAGTCACGTCTACTTCCAAAATACTGTTTTGCCATACGCTGAGTTTTAACTTGTGCTTTAACTTACGTTGAGAATAAATACATCTAAATCTTGTCTGGAAGTTTGGTATGTCTTCCCTTTTACTGGAGTAATAAATAGGAAAGACCACCAGAATTTTGCTGTTTAAAACAAATGAAGTTTATAGCATCTGTTATGTTTTTAAGTTTTATTTTCCTCCCTGTGGCTTTTTCTAGTAATTACAATGGAATTAAAATTTATTTAAGCTTGGTATTGTTATCAGTGCTGGTAAAAATGACTTGAGTTCCTGACGTGGAAAACTGCTTTTTGCTTATTCCCTCAAAGCCTTATTTAGAAGGTTTATATTCTGTTAATGTTATGGAAGGAATGTTCTTATGACCTGTGTAGTAACTTTGTCATGTAGGGGACAATATTGCTCCGTGCCCTTCACCTCTACTTTCTCTGCCCTTGCATCAGCTGCAGCAAGCAGATGATAAAAGTACCTTGTACGTAGGTTGTGGAAGAGATTCTGCAGTAATGCACTGAGCAGTAATTTGCTGCTAATATTTATTTCAGTAACTTCATTGTGTATGAAACTTGCTGTAAGCATTCCATCCTTCTGAACTGGAAGACTTAAGGGCAGAATTTCTTAATTGCTAGCTCTTCTCTGTACTTGTGGCAGAAATAAAAATTCATACAGCAAAAATGTTTGACCACTTCAGTTTTGATGCGAGGCAATACGTCAGTATGTTTTCTTGCCTAAATGGTTTTTATTAAATATTTGAAGCAATAGTATGGTACTTCTGTTTGCTGCAGCACAGCTACCCTCTGGTATATTGGGAAGGTGAAGCCTGTGTTTTCAGGGAACGTTTGTTGAGAGGAAAATAAAATCACCAACCAAAGCCAAAATGAAGTAGTTTCTTAGTTAATTGCTGTTTTGACTGGAAGCTTCAGAGACTTGCTCCAGAGGGCATCATTTGCCAGGCATTCCCTGTAGATTGGCTTTCCTGTTACTTTGAAGGCATTAAACTTTGAGTTGTTATTTGGAATAAGTCTGCTCAAATGAGTCTTAATCTTCCTTACCCTCTGAGACGTTGTATGCTAGGACTTTTTTCAAGAGCTTCATGGGCTCTTCAGCATTGTTTGTGCTTTGATTTTATTGATAGAGAAAAGAAATCGATGCACTGGAATTCAGGGTGTATTCATTCTATTGTTTAATACTCATTTAAGATCTTTCATCACAGAAACTTTCTCTTCTCTGGCAGAGCTTTTATCCCAGCTATCAGGCGTGAGGCGTACTGCAGGAGGACAGCTCAACTCCTCTGGCCCTTCTGCTTCTCAGTTACAGCAGCTGCAGATGCAACTGCAGTTGGAACGACAACACGCGCAGGCAGCGAGGCAACAACTGGAGACTGCACGCAATGCAACTAGACGCACCAACACGATCAATGTCAACACCACTATTACACAATCTACAACAACCACCAACACATCTAACACAGAAAACAGTCAGCAGACTATCCAGAATTCCCAGTTCCTTCTTACAAGGTAACTTGTTCTGTGTATTGGTTTGTATTTACCTTTTACTGTTTGTTTGCCGAAGTCTGATAGAGACACAGAGCTGGATGAAACTGAAGTGCTTGGAGTCAGGCACATGCCCGAGTAAAGCAGCAGCTGATCAAATATATGTCAGAGTTAACAGGCGAATTAATCATACCAAACATATTCACAGTAGATATCAACAGTGGTCACAGAATGTGTAATTCGTAAAAACTTGCTTCACCGGCATTTCTAGCATGAAAGTAAAATGAGTAATTTAATATCCAAAAGTAGCAGTTTATAGGTGGCCCGAGGGGAATTACTCTGCTTTTGGCTGCAGAAATATCCTGTGGTGGTCTAATGTTTGCAAAAAGGAGAGGCAATCTCCCAAGTGCACTGTGCTTTTTTTGCCGCACCTAGGAACATGTTTAAAGGATTAGGCTTGAGTATGGATTTCTGCAAACCTTGAAAAGGAGGCTGGTTTGGGGTTTTGGCTGGTTTAAGTTACTTAGGACTCCAAGCAGGGGACTTCTGCCAGGTCCTTCATCAAGTCCGTAACCAACGTACTGCACGTTCGTTTGCATTTGTAACAGCTTTTCAAAGCTACTGTCTGTCTGCTCCTAAGCAATGAGTAAACATTAGTTGCTGCATCTCAACTTCAAGAGGAACAAAAGGAATATTTCTTAACTAAATTGTGATCGTTTCGCCTGTACTTCCATCAAAACAAGTTTGTTTCCAGTGATACCAGCATATAGACTTGAGCTGTCATGGAGAGGGAGAGAGTTGGAAGAAGGTATTAACAGAAAATTAATCTTTTGTAAAAGCTGAAGATTGAATGAAGGTATATTAATTATTTTAGAGACTGGGTAACAAAGCAAATAAAGGATGCCATTAATTAACAGAATACTTACTGGTTTAGAACTACTACACTTAGATCCCAGGGTTATTTAAAAGAGGAGTCACCCACTATGTCATTCCATTTCTTTCAGAAGGTTGGCTGTTGACCTGAAATAAAAATGTTTTCCACATTTCCCCTGCCGTGTCCCTACATATGTACTCTTGTTTGTCTGTTTGGTGTTGTGAAAGAGTGCGGGTACTTTAACAGCTCCTGTGTTGAGAAACCTGGATTTGAGTCGATCTGATTTTTATCAAAGTGCAGAACAGTACTGTGTGACTTCTTTAAATCAGACACTCTTCATTATTTGAGAAGCTTAATCAAAGTACCTGTAAGTGTCACAGATTGCAACTTCCAGAGCTGGAGGGAGCAATTTCCTTGCCTGTCAGGTCATGCACTACAGCCTGGGAGAAGTGGTGGAACGAATGCTGTGTTGTGCTTTGGGAATCCCTAGGACTTAGGCACGCAGTAACGTGTTTTGTGGCATGTGTGGATTTAGAAGTTGACCTAGAACAAAACAGGCGCGCACTGAGTGTCTAGTAAATCACAACAACCCTCTCTAAGAGGCTCCTGAATAGCAGGAAACTTCACAAACAGGTACTTATTTTCCTCTAGCTTTATGGAATAGTATGCTCCACTTTGAATGCTGTTGTAGTGGCGGGGAGGGAAAGGGTGGCTAGTGAAATGTGTGCCTGTTGTGCCGAGGGTCGGAGGTTGCCAGACCTGTGCTTGTCGAAGGGCAAGCAGGGCTGTCCTGAAGGAGGGGTTTTCGATTGCCTCTGGGCGCCTGTCGGCAGCATACTTGGTGAAATGGGCTTTCACCAACTGCCTTTCTCCTCTTCCCTTGCTGCTGTACAGGTTGAACGATCCGAAGATGTCGGAAGCAGAGCGTCAGTCAATGGAAAGCGAGCGGGCAGACTGCAGCCTGTTTGTTCAGGAGCTCCTACTGTCCACTTTGATGCGGGAAGAAAGTTCCTCCTCAGATGAGGATGAGCGGGGGGAGTTTGCAGATTTTGGTGCTATGGGCTGTGTAGATATTATGCCTCTAGATGTTGCTTTAGAAAACCTAAATTTAAAAGAGAGTAATAAAGGAAACGAGCCTCCTCCACCTCCTCTTTGATGACATCCCACTTTGCAGACAATGTCCTCTGTGCTGTATTTGCCAATGAAAGTGGACAACAACTGTCTTGGGTTTGTTTTGGTGATTGTAATTTCAGGTCTGTCACTCTTGTTACATTGTGTACATTCAAAAGAAAGAGAGAAAAGTTATATATGATAATCATTTCGACTTAACTAATTTTTACTTCTAGCAGGTAAATGTAGGTTGCAGTGCAGAGCAGAAAGCTCTGTGTCCTGTACCTTGACATGCAAAAGGCTCTCCTAATACTCCACATTCAAACTGAAGAGGAAAAAAATGAAAAATCTAATGAAGCTGCTGTGTGTATTTATGAATATTAATGAATAAAAACTGCTTGGATGGTTTACCTTAACTACTGCATGACCTTTTTTGCAGCGTGCATGAGTTTTAGTGACCTTGTAATTTAAAAATTTAAATACAAGGAGTAAAACTAGAAAACTAAAGCTTTCCCATTATTCAAAGCTTACGTGACAAAAAGGTGAGGGCTGACTAGCAGCTTGTGGCCACAAAGTAGCTTTTGAATAGTATGTGACAGAATGACATCATCGTCACGTGCTGTCACCGCACAGGATGGAAATTCTGCAGTGGGATATATTGTCACGACCAGGGTGCGGCACTTTGCTGTACGTGACCATTGCGTTGCCCTGTTAGCCATCACCTCGGTGTGGAGTTGAACTTCGTTTTGTGCGCCTGTAGGAAACACAACAGTAAGGCCACTGCTGGAAGCTACTGCAAGGGGCTTTTGTGTGCCCTGAAATCAAATGATGTTTGCTTTTGTTTAAAGTTTTTCCTTTTTGTGGTTGTTAAATTTTGTTAATTTTTAAATACGTTTTATTCAGGTGTAGACAATTCATATATTCACTGTGTTTAAAAAAAGAAAAAGAAACAAAAGTTAACCTGGGTCATGTTGTCTTAGTTTAAAAAGCCTTTCACAGTCTCAATCAGATTTTGAGTTATTTATGTATTTGCTTCATAGTTTGCAGAGACCTGTCACTATTAGGAGAGCTTGAGGATTTGGATTCCCAGATTGTCAGTAGATTACAAATGAATTCTTAATGCTGACTTCAGCACCTTTTATTTATTGGTTCTTTTGGTTATTTTTGCTGGTATAAAAAAAGTTGGAAAAGCCTCTTAGTTGAATCGTTCCACCTACATGCCTGTACTGTTTATCCTACTGGTTTGGGAAAAAAGCATGGTGTTCTTGTGTGTAGAAGTTTGTAATAGCCCCAAGACAAGGAGAGAAGGGGTATGTTTGGTTTTGGGCCCTGCCCCCTCCCTTTCTTTTTTCCCAGTGGGTTTTTTTGAATGTAAAGTTAGATTATAAAAACAAAAGTGCACACAGCTTCTGATGAAAATTTAAACTAGGTTTATGTCATAATGGTGTCTTTCCAGATCTTTCTCGCCTTCCCCCCTCTCTCTTTCTCTGTATCCTTTCATCTCTGCAGCATTGCTAGCATTTTAGAGTAAATTTACAGACTTGAACACCAGATGGTGTTCTCAGCAGAACTGTGATGTGTATGCTAATCCAGAATAACAGCAGCAACAGAAGCAACCCCATAGACCGAAGTTTAAGTTCCATTCCCTGTCCCCCTTTTTTTAAAAGGTCCATTCCCTGGCCCCTTTTTTTAAAAAAAAAAAAAAAAAAAAAAAATCCTCAAATACTGATTGTTTCCACGTAGAGCAGTACTAGCTTTGTTTTCTTTTAGTCTGCAACAGAAAATGTTTCAAGGGAAACTTTACGTGAGGCCTCTGGTTATCCTGAGAGTTACCCCCAGTAGGGACTTTTTTTTTATTGATTGTTGAGGATTTTCAAAAATTTTTTCAAGCTGTAGTCTTTTCAAACACATCTTCTGCACATTACGATAAAACACACGGTTCAATAAAGCATTTTCAAGACTGTTGCTCAGTTGATTTTCTTTGGTTTTGATGTATTATCCAGTCAGTTTTGTTCCAGAAGTGACTGCAACTGTCTTAAGTTCCAACTGTATACAAAATCAGAAAAATCCTGGGTGATTTATGCGAACAAGTTTTAAAAATGCATGCTTTGGCATCTGGTGAAGTTATGTGATCCTGAACTCTTTACAGGTAGGTGAATTCAAGTTTCCATAGAACACAATGCTTTTAGAAGAGGCTCATCTCAGTGTGGTGGTGTTTGGAATCGGTGTGTGGCCAGTTGCCAGGGGATGTGTGCGTCGCACGTCTTCCACACTCCACTTGCTTCGAAGAGGATGCGAACCAGTGTTATCTGCGTTGAGAGGCTGAGCATATGCTGACTTGGATTTAAAGGTATTCTTGGGCATCACATCGACTATTACAAATCTTCAGTTGTTTCGGGGTTTCTTAGGTTTAAAAATAGTATGAAATGGCCGCAAGGATGGTGTTGATTCAGGTAGTCTGCCGGTTTGTATTTGCAGAGAAGTGTTTTCACTTCACGAATTAGGCTTTGGCAGATAGCATTTTTTGGGGCATTTGCAGAATATTTGCGTGTATTTTCAAGGTGCTCTGGGCCACAGTGTAAATAGCCTTGGGAATGGGGGGGAGGTTATTGCCTTTCGCCTGTAAGGGAACCAAAAAAAGCCCAGCCAAAACCACCTGCCGAAGTGGCATCCCAACCCCCAACACGAACACCGCCCTTTCGGAAAGC